GTGACACCCCCCCCCCCAGGGGACCAAATCACATCCAGTTAGAACCACACATTGAGTGTAACAATCTCAAACTACTTTTTCCAGCATTGTTATAATAGCAATTTAATGATAAAGAATATGAAAGACCATCGAAAATGTGAGTAGCAGTTACTCTGTGATATTGATATTAGCACTAATAATACATTAATTACTTAATCAAGCAAACAAACACAAGGATCCCCTGCTCTGGGCTAAGTTGAATTGGCTCTCACATGGTGATGGGTCAATGTTCTTGGCTTCCAGTCTCTCTGACCCTGTCATCCATGGTCCACTGGGGTGTTGGACTCACCTGGCTAGGGTGTCTGGCAGGAAGACGTCCTTGTAGATGTTTGAATTCCTCCCTGGACAGCAAATGATAGGGACTAAAGCTCTGTCCTCATCTTCCTGAGACAGCAGGAAGGAGTGAAGCATTGGCCTCCAGCCAGAATTAGGACTCAGAACAAACAGACAAGAAACATGGCCCTTCCCATCCAAGGTTGTACAGAGTGATGGACTGGAAATGAGGAGGTATTTACAGCTCCCTGTGTCTGCTCATTAGGCACATTTGGCTCTTGTGACTCCAGCCTCTAAGCGCATGATTCCCAAGTGGAAAAGTTCTCTGGACAGAAAGGATGTTTTCCTAATGAATCTGTTCCCAAAAGACTAGGTTAGAGATTAAATGAATCCAGTTCTTTTGTTTGTTTTACTCCTTTTCCTTGACCTTGCCCCCTTCCTGATGTATAAATCTCCTAGCACTTTATCTAAGCTTTGAGTTATAATTTTCTCCAAGTCTACAATGGACCGAGGCACAAACCTGGGTTAGATCTCTTTATCTTCAAAGCATCAACATGTGGTGGGGACCCAGCCCTGCTGTCTCCAGACAGGGTCTATTATTCTATTCAATAAGGTGGACAAGTGGGTTCTTCTGATAATAAACCTTGGCCACTACAGACATTGGCTTCAAGACACGTTTGCCATTACAATTAGGAATTTCTTACTTTTTTTTTTTTTAGATTTTTTATTTTGTGTATGTATTTGTCAGAGGGAGAGAGAGAGAACAAGCACAAGCAGGGGGAGCGTCAGGCAGAGGAAGAGGGAGAAGCAGGCTCCCCACTGAGCAGGGAGCCTGATGTGGGACTTGATCCCAGGACACTGGGATCATGACCTGAGCCGAAGGCAGACACTTAACTAACTGAGCCACCCAGGCATCCCAGTAATTTTTTACTTAATCACAAGTTAAAAGCTGTCCCTTGTTATAAAAAATGTTAATCATAATAGATGTATTTAGATCTTTTTATGTACTATAATGTGAGCTTATCATATCATAGGGATTTTTGATTTAATATTTATAAACATCTTATCCCTGAGGGAGTACATTTATGAACTCCAATCTATATTGTAGAAATGGCCCTTGGTGGTGTGTTGTGATCTGTCCACATTTAATATCCACGTATGTGTTTGTCCTTGAGTGTCATGCTGTCAGGACGCTTCTAGTTCTCAAGCTCTGGGGCAGTGGTTCTCAACCAGAAATGAATTTTCCCTGGGGAATGTTTGGTAATGTCTGAAGGGAAGCTGCTAAACGCTTATAAAACAAAGGAAAGCATCCCTACAATATTATTATCCTGGCCCAAATGTCAACCACAGAAGGTTGAAACCTCTCTAGACCAGCATCTCTCCAACTCAATGTGCATTTGAAACAACCCGGATCCCAGGACAAATAGAGGATCTGATCACAGGTCCTGGGTGGCCCAGAGATTCTGCATTTCTGGCGAGCTCCCGGGTGATGCTGATGTGTGGGTCCTGGTCTGTGTTCCTGTGTAAGAGATAGGTGTAGGGGGTGTTGTTTCAGGGTTGCAGGGTTCTTGTCTCACGGAGTCGAAGAATGAATCTCGCAGACACAAAAGGTTGAAGTGAAGTGAAAATTTATTAAGTGAAGGTGAGAACTCAAAGGAAAGGAAAAAAACAGCTCTAGAGTGAGAGGGGTTCTGAATGGGTTGCCACGAAGGGCGTTTATGGTCTGTCTTTTATAGGAAAGTGACCAGGGAACATGGTAAACATCTCATCGATAGCATTTAGGACAAACAAAGTGGATTTATAACTATCATGTAAATATATCATTTATATTTAGGACAAACAAGCTGCATTCCTTATGTTCCCTTTCTCTGGGTAATATCTCATCTATAACAGCTCTCCCCATCTGGGATTTCTGTGAGCCTGGTCACATAGTCCCTGGTGTGAGCCTAGTTGCATAACCCCCTACCTGTCTGTCCCTACATAGCCCCATCTGTCCCTTACTCAGTTTTAAGTCTTCTGTACCAAATACATGTAATCTTGAAGGAATAGTATACGATGGGGGATCGTCAAGCCCAACAGTCAAGAGAGAGTTCTTGAAAGTTTCACAGTGCAAAAATGTGATTTTCATTACAGCATAGGGACAGAAGCTGTGGACAGAAGAGCTGCACTGGGATTGTGAGGAGTGACTGATTCTATACTTTTTAGTCAGTGGGGGTTAGGAATAGCATAAGTCTCTAAGATTGAAAAGGGTTGCTAATCAGCTACCATTAAGATAAAGAGATTAGCTATGATTGTCCAGATGGGGCTAAGGTAATCACAACAGTCCTCCAAATGTTGACAAGGGAGACAAAGAGTTCGTGTCAGAAAGACTTTGAAAATGCTGCCCTGCTGGTTCTGAAGATGGAGGAAGACCCATGAGCCCAGGAATGCAGGTGGCCAGCAAGAGAGACTAGAACTGAAAAAGAAACAGATTTTCCCTTGAGCCTCTAGAAGGAACTCAACCCTGCAGACATGTTGCTATTGGTCCGATGAGACTCCTTCCAAGCTTCTGACCCCAGAACTGTAAGAGCAAGTATGTGTTTGTTTTAAGCAACTAGTGTGGGGATATTTTACAGCAGTGGGAGGAATCTCATATGGACAGAGTTATAAAATTATTTGAGGGAACTGAGTTTAAGTCTTCCAATTCATTCATCAGCTTCCTTTGGATAAGGGCAATTTGCATTTAAAGAACCCACATTAAGGAGTGCCTTGGTGGCTCAATAGTTTAAGCATCTGTCTTCAGCTGAGGTCATGATCTCTGTGTGTCCTGGAATCAAGCCCGCATGGGGCCACCTGCTGCTGGGGGAATCTGCTTTTCCCTCTCCCTCTGCCCCTCCCTCCTGCTCATGCTTTCTCTCTCAAATGAATAAATGAAAATTAAAAGAAAGAAAGAAAGAAAGAACCCACATTAAGTAGAAAAAATTTAACTCGATTTGGAGATATTCTCCTCCATCAGCTGGTACAGTGAATTCCTCCAGGCATAAATGTGCCTGTGGTCTGACTCTGAGGCCTTTGAGGCAGTGATATAGGAAAGGAACTCACAGTCAAAATTAAGGTAATCCATTGTAATTTACAATTTTGTGTTTATATTTCTGCATCCTTTTATTTCATGTTGATTCAACCATTCATTCTTTTCAGTGTTATCCTCTCCAACTCTCCCTCAAGTTTCCTTTCATCAAAAAAGATGAAATCAGAGATCATCTGTGTGTGTACACACGTGCGGAGTGGGCTTGCTTATTTGAAAGAAAAATGTATACACACACACACAAGATACAACCACTAAACTAGAATATTTCCTTTGGAGTAAAAAATTAATTTCCACGTATTTCATTCTTTTCTTATGGCATTCATATGAACTTACGTTCAGTATTCCACACAGCCTTCAGAAATAAGGAAAGAGCCTCAGGGAGCTGAAATTTTGCAACAATTAGTTAACACAGCAATTAAAGCTGATGTAACAGTCTTAAATCATACACAAATGGAAACTTGCACCATGTGCTCTTCATTTTCATGATGCTCCTTTAATTCAACAAAATGTATTCTTTCAATGTGGAGTTCATTATATGTCATTATAATTTGACAATTGAATTAAGTGGGAAAATGTCTATGGTGTGAGGCCAAGGGTAGGATCCAGCGCACAGTAGTTGACTCTCCACTGAAGGTTTGCAAGATAGCTCTTCTAAAAGGGAAGGAAAGCACGTGTTAATTATGGAAGCAGGAACAGTGCGATGAAATTTAAAGAATTCACATAAGTTCATTTAATTTCTAAATAGGAGAATACCTTACATATAGAAATGTAGTAACAAGACCATGAATTGGCTGAGACAGAAGAACTCTACAACCACACACAGCATCATGGATGAGCCTTAGAAACACAACAGAGATTCACAACTGGCTCCAGACCCATGAGGAGCCCAGCAGAGTTCAGAAATGCTTCCCAGAATATAATGTCATTTGATCATAAAGGGATTACCGATGAGAAGAATAGAGGCAAGAGAAATGCAGCTAGAAGTCAATCTCCTTAAAACCTGCAGCCCCTGATAAATCCTTGAGACATGCAGAGGATGACATTCCTCCAGGAACTCATGGCTGCATTAATGTTGATGTTTTATTAGAGATGAAAAAAGAAGCTTATCTTTTTTTTTTTAAGATTTTATTTATTTATTTGAGAGAGAGAGTGAGAGAGAGAAAGAGCACAAGAGGGGGGAGCGGGAGAGGGAGAAGCAGACTCCCTGCTGAGCAGGTAGCTCGATGTGGGACTCGATCCCGGGACTCCAGGATCATGACCTGAGCCGAAGGCAGTCGCTTAACCAACTGAGCCACCCGGACGCCCAAAAGAAGCTTATCTTGACAATAATCAGAACTCCAAGAACCTGTAAACCTCAGGTTCAGCATACAGAAATTCCTTAGAAACTTACATTATCTCTGCCCACTCCTGCCACAAATTTAAAAGTACAGAATCAGCTACTCCTCACAATTCCAAGGTAGCTCTTTCTGACCCCAAGTTCTGTCCTCGTGCTATTACCAAAGTACCTTTTGTACCAAAAAAAATCTCAAAAATTCTTTCTTTTTTTTTTTGATTTTATTTATTATTCTTTTGACGGAGAGAGACACAGCGAGAGAGGCAACACAAGCAGGGGGAGTGGGAGAGGGAGAGAAGCAGGCTTCCCACTGAGCAGGGAGCCTGATGGGGGGCTCGATCCCAGGACCCTGGGATCATAACCTGAGCCGAAGGCAGACGCTAAACAACTGAGCCAGGCGTCCCACAACAATTCTTTCTTGATCATTGTGTTCAGCCACCCTGCATCAGTATAATGCAGCCACCCTGCATCAGTATAATATCCCATTTGACAAGGACAGCCTGTTATACAGCAAGAGCTGACTGACACAATAATCCGAGTGAACAGACATGAGGCAATTAGAACATGTGCTGTTTTTTGTTTGTGGAATATGATCTGACAAATAGGAGAGGAGTCATGATCTTTCTGTTATTCAAGTTTATTTCTGATGACTTTATGAATAAGTGACTATATGTGGGCTTCATTCCAGATCACTGGAAGAGTCTGAAGGACATGCATGTTTGTGCAGAAGAACTGGTGACCCTGAACCACACGACTGGCAGGACATCCGCTTATCTGTGGAGCGTCCTCTGATCCTGCAGGGGGAAGACATTTCTGAAAGGTGGGAGGTACGAAATGGGTGATGCTGGTATTGTTCATTCGCCATCCCTTAGAATCTGTGACAAATATTAGGACAGGGAGTTATTTTGTGTAACAATAGAAGCAGTCATATTAGCAGGTAGGTTTGGAAGATATCAAGTAAAAACAGGAAGATAATTCGGTGATAAAATATATAAGATACAAACCAACCCTTCACCTCAATGAATAAACCCCCTCAGTTGTGGACACCGAACTTCTATGCTTCAGTAAATATATGCACAGCATGAACTGTGATATAAATAAAGGAAAACAGAAAAAAAAAAAAGAAATATTTTGTGTAGTAACAAAATGGATGTTTTGAAATTTTGCATCATCATATTTATGATTATCCTGACGCTAAGAATATACCTGGTCGATCTATTTGTTCAAGTTTGTCTTTCCATGTAGACTGCACTGGGAGGTATATGTTTGCTAATCAGCGTTTGCCAGTGGCTATGGTGGGCTTCCTGGACAGGGAGCTGAATCACAGAATAAAAGAAGTTCAGAAACACAGGAGCATGTGTCCAGAGTAACTGCCTGACTTTAAGCATTTTGATTGTAATGTAATTACCTGACATCAAGCTTTTGATCTCTGAGGCATGCATTTCTTAGGCAGTCAGGTTGAGTAAACACACTATCAGGTGAGGGACACAAGGACCAGATAAGCACTCAGGCTGCCCCAGCCATGAAGTACCTCTTCAAAAAGCCCTGGGTAACCTCCATACGGACACAGGAGTGACCCTGATTTTCCCATTGAGCACCCAAATTCTAATCATATAAAAATCTCCAATAGACATTATAAAATGGGGCGGAGCAAGATGGTGGAGGAGTAGGAGACCTGGATTTCGTCTCCTCTGAGGAATTCAGCTGGATAGGGATCAAACCATTCCGAACACCTACAAACTCAACAGGAGATCGAAGAAAAGAAGAGCAACAACTCTCTGAACAGAAAAGCTACCACTTTCTGGAAGGACGTGCGGAGAAGTGAATCCAAGGCGATATTCGGGAGGATAGATGGCGGGGGAGGGGCCTCCGTCAGCCGCTTCTGGCAAGTGATAGAACCACGGAGCACAAAATTGGAACTTTTAGGAGTCTGCTCCGCTGAGGGATGTCACTCTGGTGGCTAAGCGGGGGGTGGAACCCTCCGGGACAGTGTGGTCTCAGGACCCTCGGGGTCACAGAAAGACCAGGGGTGCCTGAGTGCGGCAGAACTCCCAGGAAACAGAGCAGGGAAGGTGGCTGCAGAGGCGGAGCCCAGGCGCGAGCTCTCAGCTCGGGGTGGCCATAAACCGTGATCCGCAGCACAGTTGGGCCACTGCTCCTCCGGCAGGGACCCAACAAGCGGCAGATCCAGGGAGACTCACCTTCCTCCCCGGGGAGGAGCCCCGCGGGAGTGCACCGCAGGGATCTGCTGGGTTTGGAGACTCCACCCGGGGTCGGGTGCCAGAGATAGAAACGCGCGGTCACAGGCCGGGCGAGCACGGAGTGTGGCCGGAGACCGGGGAGACGGGAGTGACTGGCAGCTTTTCTCTGAGGGCTCACTGAGGAGCGGGGCCCCGAGTTCTCAGCTCCTCCGGGGCGGAGATTGGGAGGCCACCATTTTCACTCTTCGCCTCCAAAGTTGTACAGAAAGCTCGCGGGGAACAAAAGCCCCAGAGAGCAAACCCGAGCAGATTACTTAGCCGGGAGGGGGCAAGGGCAGGGCAATTCCGCCTCCAGCAAAGACATTTGGAAACCACGGCAACAGGTCCCTCCCCCAGAAGATCAGTGAGAACAGCCAGCCAAGACCAAGTTTACCGATCAATGAGAACTACAGAGCTGCAGCGCTAGGGGAATACTGCACATAGAATTCATGGCTTTTTTACCATGATTCTTTAGTCTTTCAAAGTTAAATTTTTTTAACTGTCTTTTTTTCTTTTTTTTCTTTTTTTGAATTTTTCCTTTTTCCCTTTTCAACCAACATCTTATCAATCCCCCCCTTTTTTCCCCCCACTGGCCTGTTTATTTTTTTTTAATTCTTTTTTTTTTAATTTTTTTATTAAGTTAATCCTCATACATTACATCATTAGTTTTAGATATACTGTTCCATGAATCATTGTTTGTGCACAACACCCAGTGCTCAATGCAGAATGTGCCCTCCTCAATACCCACCACCAGGCTAACCCATCCTCCCACCCCCCTCCCCTCTAGAACCCTGTTTGTTTTTCAGAGTCCATCGTCTCTCATGGTTCGTCTACCCCTCCGATTTCCCCCGCTTCATTCTTCCCCTCCCGCTACCTTCTTCTTCTTCTTCTTTTTTTTTTTCTTAACATATATTGCATTATTTGTTTCAGAGGTACAGATCTGAAATTCAACAGTCTTGCACAATTCACAGCACTTACCAGAGCACATACCCTCCCCAGTGTCTATCACCCAATCACCCCATCCCTCCCACCCCACCCCCCACTCCAACAATACTCAGTTTGTTTCCTGCAATTAAGAATTCCTCATATCAGTGAGATCATATGATACATGTCTTTCTCTTTTTGACTTATTTCACTCAACATAATACTCTCCAGTTCCATCCACGTCGTTGCAAATGGCAAGATCTCATTCCTTTTGATGGCTGCATAATATTCCATTGTATATATATACCACCACTTCTTTATCCGTTCATCTGTTGATGGACATCTTGGCTCTTTCCACAGTTTGGATATTGTGGACATTGCTGCTATAAACATCGGGGTGCATGTACCCCTTCGGATCCCTACTTTTGTATCTTTGGGGTAAATACCCAGTAGTGCAATTGCTGGATCATAGGGTAGCTCTATTTTCAACTTTTTGAGGAACCTCCATACAGTTTTCCAGAGTGGCTGCACCAGCTTGCATTCCCACCAACAGTGTAGGAGGGTTCCCCTTTCTCCGCATCCCCGCCAACATCTGTCGTTTCCTGACTTGTTAATTTTAGCCATTCTGACTGGTGTGAGGTGGTATCTCATTGAGGTTTTGATTTGGATTTCCCTGATGCTGAGCGATATTGAGCACTTTTTCATGTGTCTGTTGGCCATTTGGATGTCTTCTTTGGAAAAATGTCTGTTCATGTCTTCTGCCCATTTTTGATTGGATTCTTTGTTCTTTGGGTGTTGAGTTTGATGAGTTCTTTATAGATTTTGGATACTAGCCCTTTATCTGATATGTCATTTGCAAATATCTTCTCCCATTCTGTCGGTTGTCTTTTGGTTTTGTTGACTGTTTCCTTTGCTTTGCAAAAGCTTTTTATCTTGATGAAGTCCCAATAGTTCATTTTTGCCCTTGCTTCCCTTGCCTTTGGCAATGTTTCTAGGAAGAAGTTGCTTCGGCTGAGGTCAAAGAGGTTGCTGCCTGTGTTCTCCTTTAGGATGTTGATGGACTCCTGTCTCACATTGAGGTCTTTCAACCATTTGGAGTCTATTTTTGTGTGTGGTGTAAGGAAATGGTCCAGTTTCATTCTTCTGCATGTGGCTATCCAATTTTCCCAACACCATTTGTTGAAGAGACTGTCTTTGTTCCATTGGACATTCTTTCCTGCTTTGTCAAAGATGAGTTGACCATAGAGTTGAGGGTCCATTTCTGGGCTCTCTATTCTGTTCCATTGATCTATGTGTCTGTTTTTGTGCCAGTACCATGCTGTCTTGATGATGACAGCTTTGTAATAGAGCTGGAAGTCCGGAATTGTGATGCCGCCGGCTTTGCTTTTCTTTTTCAATAATCCTCTGGCTATGCGGGGTCTTTTCTGGTTCCATACAAACTTTAGGATTATTTATTCCATTTCTTTGAAGAAAGTGGTTGGTATTTTGATGGGGATTGCATTGAATGTGTACATTGTTCTAGGTAGCATTGACATCTTCACAATATTTGTTCTTCCAATCCATGAGCATGGAACGTTTTTCCATTTCTTTGTGTCTTCCTCAATTTCTTTCATGAGTATTTTATAGTTTTCTGAGTACAGATCCTTTGCCTCTTTGGTTAGATTTATTCCTAGGTATCTTATGGTTTTGGGTGCAATTATAAATGGGATCGACTCCTTAATTTCTCTTTCTTCTGTCTTGTTGTTGGTGTATAGGAATGCCACTGACTTCTGTGCATTGATTTTATATCCTGCCACTTTACTGAATTCCTGTATGAGTTCTAGCAGTTTTGGGGTGGAGTCTTTTGGGTTTTCCACATAAAGTATCATATCATCTGCAAAGAGTGAGAGTTTGACTTCTTCTTTGCCAATTTGGATGCCTTTGATTTCTTTTTGTTGTCTGATTGCTGTGGCTAGGACTTCCAATACTATGTTGAATGGCAGTGGTGATAGTGGACATCCCTGCCGTGTTCCTGACCTTAGGGGGAAAGCTCTCAGTTTTTCCCCATTGAGAATAATATTCACTGTAGGTTTTTCATAGATGGCTTTTATGATATTGAGGTATGTACCCTCTATCCCTATACTCTGAAGAGTTTTGATCAAGAAAGGATGCTGTACTTTGTCAAAAGCTTTTTCTGCATCTATTGAGAGGATCATATGATTCTTGTTCTTTCTTTTGTTAAAGTATTGTATCACATTGATTGATTTGCGGATGTTGAACCAACCTTGCAGCCCAGGGATAAATCCCACTTGGTCGTGGTGAATAATCCTTTTAATGTACTGTTGGATCCTATTGGCTAGTATTTTGGTGAGAATTTTTGCATCCATGTTCATCAGGGATATTGGTCTGTAATTCTCCTTTTTGATGGGGTCTTTGTCTGGTTTGGGGATCAAGGTGATGCTGGCCTCATAAAATGAGTTTGGAAGTTTTCCTTCCGTTTCTATTTTTTGGAACAGTTTCAGAAGAATAGGTATTAATTCTTCTTGAAATGTTTGGTAGAATTCCCCTGGGAAGCCATCTGGCCCTGGGCTTTTGTTTGTTGGGAGATTTTTGATGACTGCTTCAATTTCCTTAGTGGTTATAGGTCTGTTTAGGTTTTCTATTTCATCCTGGTTCAGTTTTGGTAGTTGATACATCTCTAGGAATACATCCATCTCTTCCAGGTTATCTAA